TWWMTRTYTKKTTTGYTTGYTKGTGKKTTGSKTSRKTSWKTGYKTKYKCCCCGCACGGTTTTTGTGGTAGTCTGCTTTCTGCAGAGAAAAGAAAAAAAATAGTAGTTAATACACTTTGTATTCTAAGTGCTTGAACAGAACACCATACCCAGTGGTCTGTGAGTTATTTTTGTGCAGTTGGTCCTCTCCTTAATTTGTGTTTTTTTCATTTTCTTTGCTTGGGCGCTGTGTGCTTTCTCCTGCATTGTTGCGTGTTGGAGTGTTTTGTGGGGTGAGAAAAAATAATAAAGAATTCATAAGTATATTTATAATTGTGCTTGGTCCTACAGGAAGAGGCATTTTGATGTATTTCTGTGCTGCCTACTTTTGATGGTCGTACTCTTTAATTTCTTTTTTTTGTTTTTTGAGGGGTTTATTGGGGTTATCTGTTTGTTATTGGGTACTGTGTGTGTTTTTACTTTAATTTGGGTACTATATGAGTTATGATTGCAGTTTTCTGCAGTGTGTGTGCCTCTGCTGTAATTGTTGATTATTGTTTGATTTGGTGTGTGTTCTCATTTTCTTGTTTATTCATTGATTCACTTTGTTTCTGTTTTTATTATTGGGTTTTTCTTTTGTGTGTAAATGATTGAAGTAAGACTACTACAAGAAGTATTGTAATTAATAATAATGCGCTACGTGCTGTGTATCCTCGCTCTCCTGCTCTCATGTGCGTGTGTGCACGTCCTCGATCAAGTGCGTGCAGCCGATCTTCCAGATCAAGTCCCTGATACGGAGAGTGAGACGAAGATTCTTCTTCAAGGTACTCCTGTCAATTGCCCTCCTGAAGGTACTGAACTTACTGAAGAAGGTAAACCTTGTGCTGAGGCTGCTGCTGCTGCTGTGGAATCTGGTCGTGATCTTGGTCATGGTACTGGTGATAATTGCCGTGAAGGTACTGGAATTCCTGTTGAAGGTAAATCTTGTGCTGCTAGTGGTCCTGTTCCTGCTGCTGGTGCTCAAGGGCCTAACAGCAACAGTGATCAGCATCAGTCTGGAGGTGGTCTACTGCAGGGTGCTAGAGGTAGTGCCGTATCTTCTCAGATGAGTGAACCGCGTAGTGAAGCTGAAGTCACTACTACTCACCGTACTCCTGAAAACGAGAGGGGGAACGGGGAACGTGGTGCGGAGGCTGCTGCAGGGGGAGAAATGGACTCAGCAGGAAGGAGTCAGGAAATTCAACAGCAGCAAGAAGGCCGTGAAGATCCAAAACAAAGTGAAGATGTAACTTCTGGGGTGAAAGAGAACTCAAATCAAGAAGCTTCACCACAGCAACCTCAACAAACTGATGATACATCCAATGACAGTAGCGCAGTCAACACCAGTGCAGCCAGTGGAGAAGGTACAGGTGCACAATCATCCCCTCCTTCTGCATCTTCTCAAACTGATGGAACAGCGGAAGGTGGTAATTCTGCAGAGACATCAACGAATAACTCAGCGAGTACGAACCCTGAAACTTCAACTACACCCACTAATGAAGAATCAACCACCACCACAACAACAACACTTCCTCCTGAACTCACAAACAACAAGAAGGGTGATGCAGACAGCAGCAGCAGTATCAGCAGTTCTGTGTGGGTGCGTGTACCACTACTGATTGTGGTGACACTGGCCTGTATTCTTGTGTGCTGATTGTAATGGTGTGATGGTGTGACTCAGGTCATCCTTTGTTTTCTGTTTTCTTTTTTGCATGCAATCCCTACAGTCTAACTAATCTTTTACCTGTTGGGATATTCTTCTTTTTTTTTTGTTTCTTAATGTTATTGTGTTTTGTGTGTTTTTTGTTTGTGTTTATCCTATAATTATTATTATTGCTACTCCATTGTGTGTGTGTGTTCTTGGAGACTCTCTCTGTGTATGTGCCTGGGCTTGCACTGTGATAATGATGATGATGAACTGTTTTTTCAATGAAAGGGAAAAGGAAATAATAATAACAGATGGATTATAATTGCGTATATATATACACATATATAGACTTACACCCATAGTTGGTGTATATTTCTGTGTTTACTGTGTAAAATGGGCTAATGGTTAATATCTTTTTCTTTGCTTGTGCTTTGCTGGGTGGTTGTGTGCTTTGCTCCACACTCTTTTGGTGTTGTGCTTTTGTGCAGATAAAACAAAACATAATAACAGACAAAAAACTCATGTTCTGCGTGATATGTTTGTATACCCACGTTTCTTTGGTTATTGTCTTTTTGTTGGGTGCATTGGTCCTGTTTATAATTTGTTTTGTTTTTGTTTTTCTACTGCTTTGTGTGAGGTGATCCTTTCTTGTACTCTTTATTCTTTATAGTAGTAGCATTCTATTGTGTTATTTTCTTTTAATTTTGATTTGGGTATCCATTTGTCGTTATTGTATTGATAGTTTGTTTTTTTTTTTTCGTTTTTTATTAGCTTATAAACCGAAAAAAAGAAATATAACTTCTCTCGTGATGCTGCTGTGTCGACTGTTATATCTTATGGCAGTGCTGTTTCTAAGCATTGCGTCTATCTGTGCGGCTGCTGAACCACCAGAAGAGGTCCGTAGAACACCCGAAGTTACTAAAAAAGTCGAAGAACCTCCTGCTAAAGTACCCGAAGTTCCTAAAAAGCCCGTAACCGAGGATACTCCTGCTCCGTCAGGAACTAGAGAAGAATCTGAAGCTCTTGGTCGAGCACCTGTTCAGGAACCTCCTGGTTCACCTGGTAAAGAAGGTTCTCGCGATGGTCGTGCTCCAGGGCAAGTGCATGAAAATGGTCCTTCCGGTTCCTCTGCTTCTTCTGGTGCTGGTGGTACTCCTAGACCTGCTGCTGATTCTGTACCTACTGAACCTAGTACAGAGGCGAGTCAGGCTGAGGCTGCAAGTGAAGCGCAAACTAGAGAGGACGGCAACACTGCAGCAGGTCAAAATGCAGCAAGGCAAGGAAGTGAAACAACGGAAGCTTCTTCTTCATCCCCCAGCAGTTCACCCACAGGGAGTGCCACTGGTGCCGATACAGAAACAAATGAGAACGGCAATGCATCTGCAGAGAGTGAGGCAACAAGTAACCAAAATGATGGAGGAAATGAAGATACAACCACCACCACCACAACCACCACCACCACAACAACAACAACAACACTTCCCCCTGAACTCACAAACAACAAGAAGGGTGATGCAGACAGCAGCAGCAGTATCAGCAGTTCTGTATGGGTGCGTGTACCACTACTGATTGTGGTTACACTGGCCTGTATTCTTGTGTGCTGATTGTGTGATGGTGGTGGTGTGACTCAGGTCATCCTTTGTTTTCTTTTCTTTTTCTTTTTTGCATACATCCCTATAGTCTAACTAATCTTCCACCTGTTGGGATTTCTCTTCTTTTTTGTGTTTTTTAATGTTTATGTGTTTTGTGTGTGTTTTCACTCTCTCTGTGTTTATCCTATTATAATTATTATTGCTACTCCATTGTGTGTGTGTGTGCGTGTGTTCTTGGAGACTCTCTCCGTGTGTGCCTGGGCTTGCACTGTGATGATAATGATGAACTGCTCTTCGCTGTGAGAGGGAAAAAAGAAATAATAATAACAGATGAATTTATATTTATAATTGCTTGTATACACGTACATATATGGACTTACACCCATAGTTGGTGTATATTTCTGTGTTTACTGGTTACGTTGGGCTAATGGTTAATATCTGTTTGTTTGCTTGTGTTTTGCTGGGGCATTCTATGTTTTCACTACATTGCTTTTGGTAGAGTGAAAATATAATAAGAGAAATATTTATATTCAAAATTGTTTTTTAACTTATGTGTACCCCGTTCTATCCGATTTTTGTGTTTGGATGTGTCTCTGGTGGTACTCGTAATTTATGTTTGTTTTTTTTTCGGCTTTTTGTAAGGTGCTACTTTTTTCAGACTTTTTTTCTTATATTCGGTGTATTGTTTTATTTTATTTGTTTTATTCCTTTCTTTTGCATGTTTGGTTCTTTCTTATTGTAGCTTGTTTTTTGTTTTGTTTTGTTTGTTTGTCAAGGTTTCCTCAACAAAAAAGAAAATCTCTTTCCATGATGTTGTTGCCCGGCCGTGTGTTGTACTCATTGGCCTTGCTTCTGAACGTTTTGTGTGCGTCTGCTGTGACTGGTGCGCTTGAAGTCAAACGTTGCGTTGCTGGTAATTCTGAGTGTCTTCCTCCTGCACCATTTCAAGAAGGTTCCATTGGTTCCGGTGAACTTCATGAATCTACTGATGCTGATCATTCTCTTATTCCTCTACCACTTGTCCCTGAGCATCGTACAGTTGAAAGCGGTAATCATCCCAATGGGGATGTAGATGTGCAGGATCATTCAACACGAGGTGGGACTGAGCGTCTGGGTGAAGAAGATCATTTGGAGGTTAAGCCTTCGATAAAAGAAGTAAAGACAGAAGACCCTGTCAATTCTCTTACAACTGATTTGAGGAATAAAGAAGGAGCAAATGGATTGCAAGGTGCAAAAGGTGAAGTCGGTCAGGAATCTCTAGCACCTGCCGCTCCTCCAGCTAAACCAGCAGCCCATCCTTCTGACGCTCTAAAAGAGCAGGATAGTGAACAAGGACATGATAGTGAAGGGAAGGATTTGTTATCAGTAGATAACTCTAAACCTCAGCAGGGAGAAAAACTACAAGAGGAACCACATAAGGAACCTCAGGTGTCACGAGATCCGCAATCTTCCAGTCAACCCAATGGGAACCATGAAGTTCCACAGGCTTCCCAACCTCAACTGCAGGGACCAATGCCTACAGTCCAAGAAGAGAGCCAGGAGAAGGAGCACACTGCAGAAAGCCACAATGGATCAAGTGGAAATACATCTACTAATGATATTCCAGCAACAGAATCCTCTTCCTCAGCATCTACTGCAGCTCCTGCCACATCTTCACATGAAGACACTGGTGATAATGGTGCTACACCCAGTGAGGAATCAACAACAACAACAACACTTCCTCCTGAACTCACAAACGACAAGAAGGGTGATGCAGACAGCAGCAGCAGTATCAACAGTTCTGTGTGGGTGCGTGTGCCACT